TGTGTGAGCAGGTCAGGAAAGCCTTAAAGAAGACCTTTACTGATGATCATTTCCCCAAAAAAAGTCTGAAGGCTTGCAAGCTGAAAGTGACTGAATAAAGCACTGAAGTATGGAATGTTTTTGGCATTCCCATGGCCCACCCTGGAGTCTGGGGACCCGAACAACTGCCCATTTGGCCCTTATTATAATCTGTATGATGTGAAGTGATGATGTAGTAGATGCAGTAATTATCACAGACACTTCGTCCCTGGAAGTCCCCTGTATTTTCTGATTAGAGAAAGGCCAACGTCCCACAGCGGGACATCTCAGAGCTACGCAATTACAGGCATTTTGTTAAATGTCACCTTTAGCGGGCAGTGCTCCAGCATTTATTATTTAATAGCCTGAACATATCTTTATAATGCTTGTGTGATTGGGCGGGAAGACACACCTGGGTACACAGAAATCAAACAGGACACGAAGGGACCGTTATTTGGCCAGGGAAAGGTCAAAAATAATATTTAATCAAAGCAAGCCAGGAATAGCCACTCACAGGAGAAACATGTGGCTCTCGGCTGCCCCCAACGCCAGGTTCCTCAATGCGCTCCTTACACACCAACCCCCCCCCCCCCATGGAGAATGGCAGACCTGCGGGCTGCATACAATGTCACCAAGATCACCTCTGCTGCCCCTCTACTCCCTGCTGCCCCAAGGCCGTGCCTTGTGGGAAATCCGGCCCTGCCTGTGGCTATATATGTGATATGAAGTAGTAGTATTTTTTACACAAACTGCTCTAGCATCATAGTGGGGGCAATTTGCACATGACCATGTAGCACCCCCTGGTGGTGAGCTGTTAAGCAAGTTCCTGTTTAGGGGCCTACAGTTAAAGTTTAGCAGCAACGAATGTTGGAAACCTATCGCATGGCGCGGGCTCACTCTTCACGGTCCAATGGCCTTTTTAGGAAACTCACACACTTACTTGTTATAATGGGGCTCCAGATTCCGTGGTTACAGGCCAGGTCCCTCTGGGGTCGTGCTGAACTCCTAGCCCAAATAACACAAAGGACAGGGCTACAAGGTGTGTAGTCCAGATGAGGGACTCGCCGCCATCACCACCATGTCGGTTGACCGTCCTTTTCCTTGTCACCAACAGTTTCCTAACTGAGCCAGTCTCTGTACTAACTTCCCCAGGTGTGGACCAACATGTGATCCACATGTAGAAAGAGAAGTCCATCTTCTGCTTGAACTCAGGTAAGGTTACACAAGACAGTCCATTCTTGATATGGTTCCATTGTCATGGCTGGTTCATTTCCAGACTTGTGCCCTCAGAAGGGTGTTCTCATTTGAGTTCTCCAGCTCCAGGCACCCCTTCTATCAGTTGCTGTGGTTCCTCCTACTGCCTTGGACATCACTATAGTATGTATGAACGTATGAGCCAGTGGGGGGAGTATTTGACCCATTGAACTGGCTGAAACCATGAAGTGGCAGCTTTTTTAGTACAAAGCCTGCAACCGCTGGGCTTTTTTAAGGGGACGGAGAACTTTAAACATTTTTTGGGCTATTTTATATTTATTTTATTAAACTTTTTCTTTTAACCTAACTTAACTGCTGTCACATAGGGGGGCTCACAAGTCCCCTATGTGATAGCACATTGGAGGTGATAGGTACTCTTTAAGGTGACATTAGGGGCCTATTAGACCCCTAGTGTCACCTGTGCACTTTAAAGAAGCTGATCAAGCAAAAATTGTGCTTGATCAGCTTCTTCCCCGGCTTCTTTGGACAGGTAATGACGGTTGAGAAGCCGGAAGTGAATCAGCGTTGCTTCCGGCTTCATTCAGCGGGGAGATCAGCATCTGGATGTTCACTGGTCTCTCTCCCTGCTACCAGCCGACACCCTCCATGCCAGGTCTGGGCCAGCAGGTGGGGTAGCGGAGCCTGGAAAGCAAGGCAAGGGTGATGGAGGGGAAGGGGGGCCTCTGTTTACCTGCCCTTGGAAGAAATCTGGTGGATTTTCAGCCGCCTGAATGACTTCCAGTGTAAAGCCGACAGACAGCTTTACACAGGCAAACAGACCCACCGGGAGTCAGTTTACAGGGGCCTGAAGCCAGCGCAATAACGCATACTGCGCTGACAGTGAAAGGGTTAAAGGAGAACTATGAGATGAGTGATTTTCACTCACCTCATAGTTCTAGCCGACCTGTGACAATGAGACTGCCACAGGTCGGCTCAGTAGATCGGGAGGTGAGCGAACATATATCGGCGTTCGCTCACCTCTCGATCCTGTCACGGCTCTCTCCCGTGACAGGGGAGGGGCTGGATTACCCCCTCCCCGCTCCGGACGGGATGTAACTATGGTGATCCACTGGGTTTAGTATCCTCCAAGGCAAGTGGTCTGGTTCGAAAAAGATCGATCCGGAGTTCTGACTCCCCAATCTCTATGGCTGCTCTGGGTCAGCGAGTCAAAAGCAATGGAAGCCACAGACAGCCATGTATCCTGAATCCAAAATCTCTTTTATTAATTTAAATCATAGTTCATCCATTCGCTTACCTCCCCTGTAAAGAATGAACAAGGAAGCACTCAGCTGTGAGCACCTCCGGGTTCTGGCCTGTCATTCACCAGTCTCGGCAGAAGCTGATTGAGCAAAGTCTTAGCAAATGAAAGTTATTTTCTAGCAGGAGGCGACGTTTGGGCTCAAAATCGTGTGCAGAATCAGGTGCTCCCATTGAAGTCCGCTGGGGCCACAAATATGCGATCGTGCCCCAAAGAAGCTCCTGCACTTTTCTCAACATTGATCAACAGCCCATCAATCAATCGATATGAACGGACAGAACAGAATGACATGGAAATCTGAGTGCACATTGCTGAAGCGTTTCTGGAAACGTGTTTCAAGTTCTTGCGACGTGAATAGGCGCTTACGGCTTCTCGTAAACGAACTCCGGATCCATCTTCCAAAATCTTTTATTTCAAGTCATAGTACGCAAAACCAAGGAATAACAAAATGCATCAGCCCCTTGGGGGCCTTAGGCTCCTTTCACACGGGTGGTCCTACTGTCAGTTTTTAAGGCAGACCCGATCGGATTCCCAATGCTAGTCTATAGACAGCCAGGGCTAAATGAACGGGTGTCTGTTTTACACCGTGTTACCCCTGACTCCGGCCAGGTCCGGAAAAACTGGTCACAGTGGTGACATCCAATCTGTAATATTTTGATCAGGAGGGAATTCGTACACAGATCCCCTCCTGATCAGCCCCTTAGAGGCCTTAGGGTACAGTCTGTGTTTGGGCAATATGTCTGGAAGGTATACACAGGTTTATGTGAGTACCGGCATATATCCGCATACAACCCTGCATGCCTATGGGTGACTGTACGCACCAAAAAAACCCCTGTTTTCATTTTACAGCCCTAAATTCACCCATGTGCATGACATACACTATACAATCTGATTGCACAATCCCCTTTATGGATTTCCATCAACTATGTACTGCGAGGGCCTGCATGATTTAATAGGAATTGAATGGATATTTTAGGTTTGCCCTTATATTACATCATTTTGGTAAATCTAAAGAAGATTGTATGATCCAATTGTAAAGTGTATACGGAAGGCTGATGTCACACCACTTCCTCTGTGTATAGGGGCTCGGGCAGAGCTGTCACAGATCTGTATATTGATTGCCTGCAGCAACGGATCACTGCTATAAGATCTGTTGCTGGATGATTGCAGCCAGCAACGGATCACTATAAGGCCTCGTTCACACCATCCCCAGTGCGTTCCAGCCCGATTGTGGCCGGAACGTACCGGATTTCATTGCGGCCAGCTCAGTTTGTTGTGGGGCATGAGGGAGCGTGGCAGTGCATTGAGGTGAATGGCACTGCAGCCACGCTCTCCGGCTGCACATCAATGCCTGCGGTCTGGCCCGAAAAAATAGTTTTTTTGCAGCATTTTTTTCTGACCGGACCGGGCCAGACCACAGGGTCGTTCCCACTGCGGGCCCCCTGCCACCCCACAACAAACTGAGCCGGCCGCAATGTGATCCAGTGCGTTCCGGCCCGATTGTGGATGGTGTGAACAAGGCCTAAAGCTGGCTATACACCAGGGGTGGGCAACTCCGGCCCTCCAGCTGTTGTGAAACTACAAATCCCATGAAGCATTGCAAGACTGCATGATGGGATTAGCAGTTTGCCCACTGCTGGTGTATGGCCAGCTTTATAGTGATCTGTTGCTGGCTAGGCTTCCGCTGTAGGAGCTGCTGAGACCGGCCACCATATTGAAGCGGCGCTTAGACGAAGAGTCACAATCCCAGCGTCACATTAAAACGGGTACTGGGAATCAATTTTCACTGTATGCACAAAGGGGAAAAAAGACTCCGGCAGTGAAAGGGTGATGCAATGAATCAGAGCAGGAAGAGGTCACCAGGCAACAATGTGTCAGGGATAACATTGTAACAAACTCTGCTGCCATCATACAAGGTCCCCCTGGAGGGGACGACTGTCACTGGCTCTGAGGCTCCCATCAGCCTCCATGGCCGCAGCTGTCAGCTCTCCTCGGGCTGGATTCATGGCCGCGCTCTCCCCTGTCATTAGAACGTCACCGTCGTCATGGCAGCCGCACTAAGAGAGCGGCCACAACACAAGCCAAACCCCCTCCCAATGCAGCCTACCCCAGTCTCCATGGCAACGGGCGGGTTGTGGGGGCGTGTCTAGCCGTGAAGTGCGCGCCATCTGCAGCCGGTTACTAGCCAGAGCAGGGACGCGGGAGTCCGGTACTGAGCCAAAAAAAATAAAAAGCGGACTGTCGATTAGCTGCCTCCCAAAAAAAGGCGGAGTTACCTTAGACGTCTTAAGGATGATCCAATCCGAATTCTCTGGAAGTATCAACGTTTGGTCTCCGCCCCCGTCCCGTGCCCTTGCCCATTGGAGAAAAGCGTCTTCCCGCCCTCCACCGGAGAACCTGTGCTATTGTCTTTCTCAGGGGGGCGTGTTCTTGGGCCGTTTCAGCCCCTCCCTTTACTGTGATTGGCTTTTGCACGGAATGGGCTCCTCCCGCGGGGCGTGAGCCTGTCGTGTTGTGACGCAGCTCCGCCCGACTAGTCCTGCTCGGCTGTTCTGAGGGAAGCGCAAAATGGCGGACGGAGAGCTGAACGTGGACAGCCTGATCAGCCGCCTGCTGGAGGGTGAGTGAGGCGGGGGGGGGAGGACGCTGGTTCTTGGGGGAGGAGGCCGGGGACCCCAATATGGCGGTATACTCTGGGAATCCGGGGATCAGTTTGAGGAATTTTCTGGGGGCCCAATATGTGGGTTGGTGTGACTTTTTAAGGGGCCCAATAAAGAAGGATGACCCCGTGTGTGTGTTCTCAGTGAAGAGGGATGGGCATAGCTGGTGTGTTTCTAGTGAAGAGGAGGGATGGGGATAGCTGGTGCGTTTCTAGTGAAGAGGGATAGCTGGTGCGTTTCTAGTGAAGAGGAGGGTTGGGGATAGCTGGTCGCGTTTCTAGTGAAGAGGAGGGATAGCTGGTGCGTTTCTAGCGAAGAGGAGGGATGGCTGGGGCGTTTCTAGTGAAGAGGCGGGATGGCTGGGGCGTTTCTAGTGAAGAGGCGGGATGGCTGGGGCGTTTCTAGTGAAGAGGCGGGATGGCTGGGGCGTTTCTAGTGAAGAGGCGGGATGGCTGGGGCGTTTCTAGTGAAGAGGCGGGATGGCTGGGGCGTTTCTAGTGAAGAGGCGGGATGGCTGGGGCGTTTCTAGTGAAGAGGCGGGATGGCTGGGGCGTTTCTAGTGAAGAGGCGGGATGGCTGGGGCGTTTCTAGTGAAGAGGCGGGATGGCTGGGGCGTTTCTAGTGAAGAGGCGGGATGGCTGGGGCGTTTCTAGTGAAGAGGCGGGATGGCTGGGGCGTTTCTAGTGAAGAGGCGGGATGGCTGGGGCGTTTCTAGTGAAGAGGCGGGATGGCTGGGGCGTTTCTAGTGAAGAGGAGGGATAGCTGGTGCGTTTCTAGTGAAGAGGGGGGATGGGGATAGCTGGTGATCGCCTATTTCTTTCTCCCTCAGTAAAGAGGAGGATGAAGATGGTGGTGTGTGTCCCAGTATTGATCTCGGTAAAGGGACATGATGAGGGTTGTAGTGTTATGTGGGACCTCGTTGTCTCTCTTTTTACCTTATTCCCTGTTTACTTTGACACTGTTGTCCTGATGAAGGGCCCCGCGTGGCCCCAGAAACGTTGGCTGTATCATGTTTGACATTTCACTTCAATAAATAAGCACAATGATGAAGGCTCCACCCACACGTGGCAGATGCGTCTTCTGCGCGGAGAACCGTGCCTTACAAAAACGCACACGTTTTAACATACACGCGGATTCCACACGTTTCCGTTTATTACTATAGCCGGAACGCATGGAATCCGCCCGTCGGGATATCACGCGTTTACGTACCACGCGGACGTCGCGCACATGTGAACTACATTTGAATGTAGTGATTTTTATGTTTAGCGCGCTTCCACATGTGCGGATACACCCTAAAAACAAATACTGTGTGAACAGAGCCGGAGTTTTATTTGCCCTGTCAGGTTATCTGAGAGCGGCGTTCCTGTCCGCCAAGGTGGGGCACTCTGGCACACGGTATACAAAGCGTGTCTGTGGCTCATGTGTAGGTGCCGATCATATATGATGCGCTCAGCGGCGTGAGGTGTTTGCGTGCACTTTGGCAGCTCTGACATTGTTCATATAATCTATAATGGTTACTTTGTATTGTATATTCGGGAGTTCCGCTGTCATGTGACTTTTTGTTTGTATCCAGTTACAGTTCTGGCAATGTGCACTTGGCATTCTCCGATGATTGGCAGTATATGGACTCCAGCACCCTGCAAGGGGGGAGGGGAGGTGGGCATTGCATGATCTCCAGCAACATATGGCCGCTGATCCCAGCAGGGTGTGTAAAATGTCAGGAGAACATCAGCAGTAGTTCCTCTTCAGGTCTGACAACTGTGTGAAAGTAGGTTGTAAAATGCAATGGGGGGGGGGAGGGGGTGTGATCCCGGGTATCCACGGCGTTGGGCTGCACAAGGAACTGCGTACAGACCTCCAGTCTGATATCAATCCCCCAGGCTGAGCTTGTACTGGGAGAACTGGAGCACTCGGTGGAAGGAGCTGTTGTGATCTGTTCTAGAATATCTGGGATGGCTTCCAGTTGGCGCTCAGTATCATCGCACCGAGTCACCTATAGTGTGCCGGCGGGTGGGGAGGGGGGAGGTTGTGTTTCCATGATGTATGGCTTGTTTACAGGAGAAGTTGG